GGATTGCTGGGAGTCTGGCGAGATCTTGTCCATAGCAGAGGCTGCTGGGAGTCTGACGAGGTCTCATCTACAGCAGGGATTGCTGGGAGTCTGGGGAGGTCTCGTCTACAGCAGAGGCTGCTGAGATAGCGAGTGGTGGTGCCTGGCCCTTAAACTGGAAGTTTGAGTGCTTAACCTGCTCCCCCCATGACAGAGGGCTATACGATCTCTAGATTGAAAACCCTCTTTTTTAGAAGGGTTTTTATTTAACTTGTTATGTGTCTGCCCTATTGCCTTCCTTCTGGATTCCAAACCCCCATTGTAACTTTAATTCTGCTATCTCCTCTCAGTGTGTATTTTTCATGTCTCTGTAAAGCTCTTTGAGATGGCACTTTTAAAGGTGCTATATAAAATAAAGTTTAGCTTGAAAGTTTAATGTTTATTATCTCTGTGAATTCAACCAGGCAGCATGGGGGCAGGAACAGGCAGTAGATGGTCTCACTCACCCCCTCAACACTCAGTCCACTTGGAGATGAGGTTGGAGCAACAGCACCCTGATCTGCTTTGATCCAGACTTGCTCTTAAAGACCCCCTCCACACTTCACCTTTAGGTCATAATCCTGCCTGTGCCTTGGTCCTGTAGCTCTTGATTGACTGTAAACGAGACCTCGCCCGACTCCCAGCAACCTCTCCTGTAGATGAGACCTTGCCCGATTCCCAGCAGCCTCTGCTGTAGACGAGACCTCGCCAGACTCCCAGCAGCCTCTGTTATGGACAAGCCACGTCCATGTGCTTCCCAGGCTGGGCGTTATTTTCAGGGCCTTCAGCTGCCTTTTCAGGGGTGCCCCAAAGACCAGTCTACTGAGTGCCTGTCCCAGCATGAGTAGAGCTGGGGATTTTACTCGATATTGTGATAGACTCAGTAAGTGGTTAGAGAGGCAGGCTGTTGTCATTAATTATTCCTGCACTCACTTCGGGGAGTCTAAATTAACCCTAAGAAATACGTTTATAAAAAGTATATCTGTAATCATTAAAAAACCTTACTGAGAGTTATCAGTATTGCTTCTCCTTTTAAAAGATGAATATTGATACAGTATTTCTAGGTTTTGAGTTTGATGTTAGACGCCTTTTAAATATGACCCCCACTGTTTGACCCACTACAATGTAGCGTACGTACAGTGGTGTGAAAAAGTGTTTGCCCCCTTTCTGAATTGTTATTTTTTTGCATGTTTGTCACTTTGAAATGTTTCAGATCATCAAACAAATTGAAATATTAGACAAAGATAACACAAGTAAACACAAAATTCAGTTTTTAAATGAAGGTTTTTATTATTAAGGGAAAACAAAATCCCTGCAATGAAGCACACTTGGGTTCTGCAGCAGGACAATGATCCAAAACACACCAGCAAGTCCACCTCTGATTGGCTTAAGAAAAACAAAATGAAGACTTTGGAGTGGCCTAGTCAAAGTCCTGACCTGAATCCGATCGAGATGTTGTGGCATGAAAACCCTCCAATGTGGCTGAATTATAACAATTATGCAAAGATGAGTGGGACAAAATTCCTCCACAGGGCTGTAAAAGACAGTTATCGCAAACGCAAATGCTTGATTGCAGTTGTTTAGGGTGTCTCAACCAGTTATTAGGTTTAGGGGGCAATCACTTTTTCACACAGGGCCATGTAGGGTTGGATTTTTTTTCTCCTTAATAATAAAAACCTTCATTTAAAAACTGCATTTTGTGTTTACTTGTGTTACTGTATCTTTGTCTAATATTTCAATTTGTTTGATGATCTGAAACATTTCAGTGTGACAGACATGCAAAAAAATAAGAAATCAGGAAGGGGGCAAACACTTTTTCACATCACTGTACAGTGTACAGTACGGATCATCTCACACGGAGGCAGTATCACATATCTAACATCACCGGTTGCTTTTCCACCGGAGTTACCGGCGCGCGAGCCACGCCGCGGTTTTCGAAAGCGCCGTCGGTTGAAACTCGAAGCTTCTTCGGAGCCGGAGGCGCTCCGCTGGATAAAAGCGGCTGTTCAGACAGACCCGTCGAGTGATTAAAGCACCATGAAACCCCAATACCACTCTCGCAAGGAACCCAGACGGTAGGGTCGCATCTTGTGATGTTTTTCTTATTATGTAATTGACTATTGCCATTTAAACCGCAGGTGAAGTAATAAAAACGGATAATATCATAAAGTGAGATTAAGCTGTTCTTTTGATGTTTCACAGAATACCACTTACAGCCGTTTTTTTTCCCTTACATGCTCAAAAATAAATAACAATCCTTTAAAGAAGGCAGAATACGCACTGAATGCAGAAACTAATAATTCAAACTCAAAATGGGGTTGTCACTTCAGACTTAAAAAAACGTGACTACATAGCTATTATTTAAAAAATCGTTAACTTGCTATGAACTCACTATACAACGGTTACTGCAATAGTTCTTACCTGTTGCAGTTTTGGGGTGGCATGGTCATGCAGTGAAGAGAATGGCAGCCTGGCAGTGCTGGGGCCCTAGGTTCAATTCCAGACCTGGGGTGCTGTCTGTGTGAGTTTGTATGTTCTCCCTGTGTTTGCATGTGTTTCCACCTGGTGCTTTGAATCCTTCCTCCTTCCAAAGACATGCTGGTAAGTGAATTGGCTTCTGGGAATATTGGCCCTGGTGTGAATGTGTGTGCCCTGTGATGAACTTGCTTGCCTGTACTGTATAAAGGGGTTAGAAAATCGGTGGTTGGATTGGATGCTGCATATTTAAACAGAAGTTACTGTGTTTCAGATTTCCCCCTTTTTCCTAAATAAAAATAAATATAACCACCAGCTCCACAACAGAACTCTATGGGTACTTGTACATATTTACTTTAACCACCCCCTCCTCCCCCATGTTTGGATGTATCTGTTTTTCGTTAAGTGGAGTATGGAAGGGTACAGTGAAGTTTGCTGCTGTGTTTCAGAGACGCTGCAGAAAGAGGAGCTGAGCCCAAGAGAGAGGCTTCTGCAGGTGAGACAGGATCGCCAGCCTGGACTGCAGCCTTACTGGTCCTCTCAGACACACTGCAGGCTCCGCAGTGCCTGTGTCTCCAGTCACACCCTGCATACTGGACATGCCCCTGCAGTCCTTTGATAGAAATTCCCATTTTGCCCACTAGGAGTTATCATAATAATGTCATCGTCTGTAGCTACTTTTCATCTCTAATAAACAAATGCCCCTTTGTGATACTGGAAATACTATCCTGTGTTATTCTACACTAGCTCTTTACATAGCTGGAGTACACTCTAGCATTCTAGTATATACTGTATTATTATCATATAGTGCATTGCATGTATAAGACTTTATTCACATGTGACTTCCATTGCTGGATTTGCCACAAACAGGTTTTTAACTGTTTTAATAGTTGATAATTCATTTGATCACGCATGTTAGGGCCCAGCTGTAGCAAATAATAATAATAATTGCTTACACTTATATAGCGCTTTTCTGGACACTCCACTCAAAGCGCTTTACAGGTAATGGGGACTCTCCTCCACCACCACCAATGTGCAGCATCCAGCATCCTGGATGATGCGACGGCAGCCATAGTGCGCCAGAACGCTCACCACACACCAGGTCTCAGTGGGGAGGAGAGCAGAGTAATGAAGCCAATTCATATAGTGGGAATTATTAGGAGGGCATGATTGGTAAAAGCCAATGGGGAAATTTGGCCAGGACGCCGGGGTTACACCCCTACTCTTTTCGAGAAGCACCCTGGGATTTTTAATGACCACAGAGAGTCAGGACCTCGGCACCTGTTTATAGTTTAGTGTCCCCGTCACTATACTGGGGCATTAGGACCCACATGGACTGCAGGGTGAGCACCCCCTGCTGGCCCCACTAACACCACTTCCAGCAGCAACCTTAGTTTTTCCCAGGAGGTCTCCCATCCAGGTACTGACCAGGCTCACACCTGCTTAGTTTCAGTGGGGGGCCAGTTGTGTGTTGCAGGGTGATGTAGCTGCTGGCAATTCCATTATGGCAATTCCATTTCATTCCATTAAATATCTGTAATGGAATGAATTTAGAAGGTCTTCTGTTCTTTTTACATTTTTTATGTAGTGGGGACATCCAGGAGCGCCACAGCTGGGGATCCTCACAGTTCAGCACAGAAAAATCCAGGCACTGCTTTCCCCAGCCCGCGGCAAAGCTGCCTGAAGAAACCGGGCGGTCATTCTCAGCTGCTGGCGCTCCCCGTGAGGAGGAAACCATGCCTGCCGGTCGCCCCACACTGGAAGGGGGCCATGTACAGGTGGCCGCTTGTCAAGTACACTGCACCCCTGCCTGACAGGGACTGTCTGCGTCTCAGGGGCCTGGGCAGGAGAGCAGCAAGCAGACACACGGCTCATATGCTGCCCCCTGTCTCCAAGAGGGTCACCTTTGCTGTCCCCGAAGCCACGTGGTGCTGCGTGCCGGTGCCTGAGCTGCCCGTGCCCGCAAGAGAGAGGCCAGCCATGTCCCTGAAACTCAGCTCGCCCTCCCCTGCCCGCACTCTCCAGACTGCAGCCCGTGCCCAGACACAGACGCCCAAACAGCCTCATGCCCCGAGCTCCATGGTCAAGCAGGTTGCGTCTGGTAGAACCAAGCATGCCAGGTGCACCCCGATCCCATCTCCCCCTCCTCCACCCACCGTTCTCCATCATTCCTCCCCTTCGGCTGGAGCCAGAGCTGCCCCCTGCCACCGTCCTCCCCAGGCCTGCAGACCTCCAGCCCTGCAGAGGCTCCTTGACAAGAACACCAAGGAAGAAGGGGGGTTGGGGTACAGCCCATCTCGCTCTGTCAGGACTCTCCAGCTATGTAGCCCCAGCTCCGAGTCCCCATCCCCTTCCTCTTCCTCATCAGGGTCACCCCCTTCCGATGGGGCCCCCACTTCCTTCCGCCGCTCTCTGGGTCACAAGCGGCGTCGGCCCATCCCTGGATACCGGACGCGGCGATACCTGGACAATCTGGAGTGGTATCGAACCCTGCGCAGAGAGAAGAAGCTGAGGGAGGCCCGGCGGCTCCTTCAACAGCTGTGCTCGCAGGTCTGTGTCTCTGGACATGTGTGTCTCCTGTTGGTCTTCCTGCCTGCCTGTCGATGACTGCCCGATAACTGTCTGCGGCTCAGTTTCTCTCTTTCGATGCTTTGAAAACTGCAAATGGGAAATACCTGTTGAAAATTCTGACTGTTGATCTTTTATAATCATACGGAATCTTATTAGCGCCACGGAGTAAAAAACATTCCTTGCATTTAAATGAGACAGTATTGCATTTAAACAAGAAACTGCAGAAAAATTTACTGTACATAGGTTTTTTGCCCAATCTTTAAACATTGAACAGAATACATTTACAATGACTTGACAGTAAGACAACATTACTTACTATATTAATAATCTACAGATGACGTTTTTGCAGAAAGAAGAGTGTGATAATATTCTTACTACTCTTACTATTCTTGCTACTCTTGCATGGGACAATATATAAGACAAGATATCAATATAGTAAGCAATATTGTTCACAAATTAACTATCGCGTTTTAATGCAGCTATCTTGTATAAACGCAATATGTTTCTTGTTTAAATGCAATACTATTGTAATACTGTCTAGTATAAATGCAGATTTCTATTTATTTTCAGTTCCATATTTATTCCTTCATTTATTCTTTCAATTTCCATAGAATCATTGAAGATCCAGTTTTTACTGACTGATTCACAGAGGCTGTCCTAACCTTGATAGTGTGTCTGTCTGCTTTGTGTTAGTTAACTTAATGCTAGAGCTGTTTTTCTCTCTTTTTCCAGGAGTCTAAGCCACCCACAGGTGCCTGCTCTTCTAATGCAGGTGATGTTTAATTACTCTGATTATTTTATGTGGTTATTTATTAACTGTTGTGTTCTTATCTTTGTTCTTATCAATGTTGTTCTCTATCCTTTATAGGGTCCCTCCCTGGCACACCACAGCAAAAGCTGTCAATGGCAGTCCAAACAGCGTATCCTTCCACGTCCTCTTCCTGTCCTGTGCCCCTACCCTGTGGGCTCCCAATCCGAGATGGGACCGGTATAGTGAGAAAGGGAATTTTGCTGGATACTAGCACAGGCGGGAAGCGAAAGAGGGTCCGCCCACAGTCTGCAGGTCTGGCTCAGTCCAGAAGCGCCAAGGCAGCCCGGAGATCCTGGTCCCGCCGGCTAGTCAGCAGTAGTGAAGACTCCCTGTCTGATGGCAGCCCCACCACTGAGCACGCGTCCATCCAAGCAGACCCAGCAGCTCCAAAATCGCCTCTCAGCAAGTCAGCTAAAACTAGAACTTCAGCCACTGACCCAACTGCAGATGCACAGAACACCCAAACTAGGAAGAAATTGCCATCCGCTAAGAACGCTACTGTAAGTAAGAGAACTCAAGGCGCTAGGAGCCCTCCAACCACTGCCAATACCCGAGACACTAAGAAGCTGCAAGTCACAAAGCACTCTCCAAACACTAAGACATCATCGGGCACAAAGATTACTCCAGCTACTAAGATTATTTTAATCACTAAAACTGCTTCTGAACTTTCTCCAGTCAGTATGAATTCTCCAGTGACTAAGAATATGTCAGTTGCTAAGAATACTCTAACCGCTAGGTTTACTCCAGATATTAAGAATACTCCAACCACTAAAAACACTACCGTCACTACAAATTCAGTCTCTTCTGAAATTTCAACAGTCACTAAGAATATTACAGTCACTAAAGCTTCTTCAGCCTCTAAAATGTCTCTGGTCACAAAGAACATTATAGCTACAAAAAATTCTCCAGCCTCAAAAATGTCTCCAGACACTAAGAATACTACAGCCACTGAAAAATCTCCGGCCTCTACAATTTCAACAGACACTAAGAATTCTACAGCCACTAAAATTTCTCCAGCCTCTAAAATGTCTCCTGTCACTAAGAATACTACAGCCTCTAAAAATTCAAAAGCCTCTAAATTTTCTCCAGAAACTATGAATACTAGAGTTATTAAAACTTCTCCAGCCTCTAAAATTTCTCCTGTCACTACGAATGTTACAGCCACTAAAACTTCTACAGCCTCTAAAATTTCTCCTGTCACTACGAATGTTACTGCCACTAAAACTTCTCCGACCATTAGAATTTCTCTGGTTACAAAGAATACTACAGTCATTAAAAATTCTCCAGCCTCTAAAAT